AACGTTACAATACTGTGATACTATGGATAAAATATTCTGTTAGTATGTAATGTTACAATACTGTGGTACTATGGATAAAACATTTTGTTAGTGTGCATTGTTACAACATTGTGGTACTATAGATAAAACATTCTGTTAGTGTGTAATGTTACAACACTGTGGTACTATGGATAAACCATTTTGTTAGTGTTTAACGTTACAATACTGTGATACTATGGATACAAATATTCTGTTAGTGTGTAATGTTACAATACTGTGGTACTATGGATAAAACATTCTGTTAGTGTGCATTGTTACAACACTGTGGTACTATGGATAAAATATTCTGTTAGTATGTAATGTTACAATACTGTGGTACTATGGATAAAACATTTTGTTAGTGTGCATTGTTACAACATTGTGGTACTATAGATAAAACATTCTGTTAGTGTGTAATGTTACAACACTGTGGTACTACGGATACAATATTCTGTTAGTGTGTAATGTTACAATACTGTGGTACTACGGATAAAACATTCTGTTAGTGTGTAATGTTACAACACTGTGGTACTGTGGATAAAATATTCTGTTAGTGTGTAATGTTACAACACTAGTATTATAGATACAGTATTCTGTTAGTGTGTAATGTTACAACACTGAGGTACTATGGATAAAATATTCTGTTAGTATGTAATGTTACAACACTGTGGTACTATGGATAAAACATTCTGTTAGTGTGTAATGTTACAACACTGTGATACTATGGATAAAACATTCTGTTAGTGTGTAATGTTACAACACTGTGATACTATGGATAAAACATTCTGTTAGTGTGTAATGTTACAACACTGTAGTACTATGGATAAAATATTCTGTTAGTGTGTAATGTTACAACACTGTAGTACTATAGATAAAGTATTCTGTTAGTGTGTAATGTTACAACACTGTGGTACTATGGATACAATATCCTGTTAGTGTGTAATGTACAACACTGTAGTACTATAGATACAGTATTCTGTTAGTGTGTAATGTTACAACACTGTAGTGCTATAGATACAATATTCTGTTAGTGTGTAATGCTCCAAACTGTGGTACTATAGATAAAATATTCTGTTAGTGTGTAATGTTCCAACACTGTAGTGCTATAGATACAGTATTCTAGTGATGAGTAATGTTTTCTTCATCAGGGTACTCCAGCCACAAAAACTCAAACTGTAAGTTTATCTTTAAATTATAAGATCCTGAAATGGAGCATAAAATAAATGAAAGACACTGAACATTGTCTGACAGAAACATGACACTGACTACAACAGTAAGAATTTGTAGAATTTGAGAGACAACAAAACAATATCATGGAAAATGTAAAAAGTGCCAAAAAAGACTTGTATTCTTTTTTCATACTGATAGAGATAATTTTTTGTCCTATGAAGCCTTCATTGATGTTGTAAATTGCTTCACTCTGTTCTTGCATTGTCTACGTGTTCTCAGTTTTCAGGAGTTGTCTAATTCCGTACTGAGAAGTGAAGAATTTATAAGGGGCTTTCCTAGGCGTGAATTTTATCATCTTCATTATAACGTAGTTAATCTAAAGAATTTATCATATTCATTATAACATAGTTAATCTAAAGAATTTAACATCTTCATTATAACGTAGTTAATCTAAAGAATTTATCACCTTCATTAACCCTTTTGCACACGTTATGTATTTATACTATAACTTTTAATGCTGTATGTGTATCTTCACAAAATTTGGTAAACTTTTAGTAAACATTACAAGTCTTTTGTACACAAAAAACGAGTCTGTTTCTTTACTAGTCCGAGTAGAAAGTGATTTTCATGTTATGATTTAAAAAACTATTCTTCATCCCAAAAATCTCAAATATCATTTGTGTAATCCCTAAAACAATCAGGTTGTTATTTTCTCCACTGTAACTCTATACTGGGTTGGTCAAATTGACCGAACTCGTAACTGCCATAAAAAAATTCAGAAATAAATATAAATTATGCTTTTTTTTGTTCTAAATGACTACAAATTATAACATGAAAGCACAAATGTTCAGTTTAAATATCTTAACTCTCATAATGTTATACATTCATATATATTTATTATTTATATTATATTCACCTTCCTGGCTAACATTACAGAAGTTACAATGACACAGCACATTTCAATTATTATACATTATATATGTATATACATTATTATTATTTACAAATAAGTTCTTTAAATTAGTGTTCTTAAAACATAGAACAGTAAATAAAGAAGTAAAGCAGACAATTATCTCTGCAAGTTACAACCTTTTTTACTCGTTTGCTGCTTGACGTAGGTTGTTAACACTTATCAAGTCTGACACGTGGAGGATGTGAATCGATATAATTTGTTTAGGTTTCATACATATATATATTTTTGTAATAACCAAAAATCATAAATTACTATATGAATACCATAGAATTTCACTGTAATTTATTAAAAGTATAACTAAGCTGTATTTATGTCTAAAAAAAAGTGAAATTTCAAGCTCTCTAAAGTCTTACCTTACCTCTTTCAATCTAGCATGAAAAGAAAGAG